TTTCCTACCCACACACCCACTGACACTTCGGCTCAGAGAAGTGATTCAGTGAGTTGACTGATAGCTCTGGGCACAGCAGATAGCTGCATATTGGTCTCCTCCTTGCTTTATTATCTGCAATTTGCAGCATCATATCACTCCCATTTTCAGCCTCAGAAAGGTACAGTGAGAGTTAAAAAGGGCAAAGATCCTAACCCACATGCCAAACTAGCAGATTGCTCCTTCCCAGGCCCTAGGGCACTGGACCAACTTCACTTGCTGGTCATTTAGCATGGGGTTTATACTGTACTTCAGCAACATTATTTTCTGTGGAATAAGTCACTTGGGCCACAGTCAAGCAGAAGGGCCAAAGAATTGTTCTGAGTCCCATGTGTTCCCCAGCAGAGGACTGGAGCATCCAGTTATGCATTGCAGCAAAACTAAGTAGTGCAAATCACACTGTATTTCCTTCCCCTGGAGGGCAGGGAAAAGGGCAGTCTAGTTCTTTGCATGCTTTCATCACATTCAAATCAGGTCCCCAGCCAAAAAGAGGAGGGGACACAGGCACTACTTCTGCATCTTGGATCTTATCTGTAAAAGTGTTTTCCTGCACAACAGTCATGGGAAGCAAATACGTAACCCACAAAATTCTAGATAAATTCTGAGATGGGGAAAGGAGTGAAGAATGTGATCTTATGCTCCTCTACCATCAGTGTTAGGAAAAACTGAGCTCACAAACGTGCACAGTTAGGGTAACAGTTAGGATAACTCACCAGCAACACTTCTACCATATTTGCAACAGCACCACACACAAAAGCCTAGCACTCATTGATTCTTCCCCTCTCTATTAGCATATGCTGTCTTCCATACATTTCTGTCAAATGTGAACACATGCAAAATGCATAACCTCCATGTTTCATTTGAAAAAAGTTTTGAAAAGCTAATTTAAATAAGCTCAGCTTCACAGCACTCAAGGAGATACAGGAAGTAAAACATGCCCCCCACTTGAAAACCTTTGTTTATTGAATCATCAGGACACATTACATGGAAGTAGCAGACTCTGATCTGTCTTTTCTTCAAATGCTTTTCAATTATGCCTGCAATGAAGGAGGGTGGAAAATGAGCTGCCAGATGGTTAATGGTCTTACTGAAAAATAGCCTTCTCTGCTGCTTTTTGAAGCCACTTGTCAGGGAACTGTCATAATGTAATCTCTATTCTTCCCATTTATGGAAGGAAGCATATTTCAATCAGGTGTTATCAAGGCTAAGAGAGCCCAAATTAACTTGTCCTAAAGTAGCTTCTCAGAGCACTACAAATAAATCCACTAACAAATTGATGTATCTAGAAAATGCAAGCCAAGTAATATAAAAGCAGCATATGAAGGAGCTCCTCAGATGAAGGTTGTGACTCCTCTTCAGGGAGTACTGTACTGACAGGACTAGGTGGCTGGTGAGTTTTGCTACTGCCCAAAATGCTGAACGTCAGTATCCCTTTACTTCCCAAGGACTCTCTGCTTTCATGTCTACTTAAATTCCAATTTTGAATTTCAATTTTGAATCTGCTCTAGGAAAAAGAATATAATGCCAAGAATCCCAAGACTAGAAACAATGGACTTAATCCAACAGTTATTAAAGAAGGGAAGAATTCAGAATAGTTGTTATACCTCCAATTATTAATCTCAGACACCTGTGTCCAATTATGTCCCCAAACATACAAACAATTCATGGTGTTTTTTTTTTTTTTTTTTTTTTTTTTTGCCAAAACCTACATACAGCCAGCTCTTACTCAGGACACTCAGCTTCTCAATATTCCCCTAGGATTACTGCCCTACAAGGAAGTACTTCTTGGCTTCTTAGGATAGAGTGACATCTTGTGGTTTCTTCTGTCCATCATTGAGGAATTAGCCATAAGAACGTTGACTAACTTTTTCTGTTTCTGGTATAGAACACTAAGATCTTGAGGAATATCATACTTCATCCAGTCCCATGAAAGACCAGTTTCATGCTTGTGTATTTCTGTAACGCTGCAGTAGGGTGAATCACATTCAAAATGCAAAACTTGGCTCTTACTGTAACATCAAAGTCTGCATCTGAATGAAAAGCACTTGCATCTAATAGAAAAAGATCACAGCTAGGAGCTGACTGCATCCAGTAAGTAGTACATGCATGAATGTCCTATGCAACAAGTTTGCCACTTTCAGTAACATTCCAGTTTCTTCTGTGAACTGTAGTGGGTGGGTGCATTTTGGTTAATCACTTAAAAGCAAGCAAGTGTTCCAAATCAAGAAAATTTGCTCTTGGAAGAACACTGAAATTCTATTGTGTAGAACATGTCAAGCTTTTGTTTGAATGAAGTTCTAATCCAGAAAAAAATGTTTGCTGCTCAAGATCTTACACTTAAATAACCTTACCACTTTAGTTAACCAGCTTCAAGTCCCAGCACAGCTACAAAAATGATCGGCAAGTACTTTCTCCCACTGAAGCTCCCAAGAGCATTTCCAGCAGCACTCCAGGAGATGTAATGCAAGATAGAGAGATGACAGCATCAGGGAATTTCATCTTGTGCTTGAACTGTCTGCATCACAGGGTTGCAACAGACACTCTGCATCAGACATCATGGGTCACTTACACAGCACAACCATAGACTTTAAGAATGTATTTTGATACAGCCCCAACACAAAATTTTTAAAGACTACACACCTAAACTCACATACAGGACACTAACAAACCCCCCTTACCATAAAAACACTAAGACAGAAAGAATCATTGATAGTTTTGTCTCAGAAGCAATAGTACCTCTGAAAAGAATACACAAAAATCTATCTAGACTAAATCTAGACTAAAAACACAATGGAAGATTATATATCTCAAAGTGGTAACAACACTTAAGGTACCAATGAAAATCAGTATTGTTTGAGAGCTGCATTCTTTGTGCTATACAGCAAACATCATAATTTGGTAGTAAACCCATTCATATACCAGAAAACATTCATTTATCTTCAAAAAAAAGGAAATAACTACTTTGTTAGAACTAGGCAAATATGAAATGAAATAGCTAGTGTTTGCACTTCTGTTACTGCTTGCTTTCTAATTTGCCCATTAAGGCAATTTGCAGACTCAGACTTGGCATAGGAGACTGCCTCATTCCAATTAGTACCTACATTCAGACTAACTGCTAGGGCTCTACGTGCACTTGCCTGATATCCTTCTGACTGGTAGTTGTCCTTCCATAATTCCACAGCTTTAGTTCAAGTCTATCTTCAAAGTCTTTTCCTCAGTAAGGAGCATTTACACTGCAAGAAACTGGTGTAAAGACAACGAAATTGGCCAGGAAGCACTTTCAGTGAACTAGGAATAAGCCCAACTGAGAGATACCTGCTTTTCTCTCATCTTTCTATAATAAATGCCTCTACAATAACAAGGTGCTTCAATAAGCACCTCAAAAATTGGCTACGAAGTGTTTAACAGCATGAAACTTGGGCTCCTGAGAAGGTTGAAAATGTATCCTTGGCATACCAGTTACTTTTCAATGCATTAAATGGCTTTCTGTAAATCACCTTAACACGTACAACCAGCCCTCCTGTAACTGCATCAAAGGAGCTGCATTTACCTACTCTGAGGCCAGTCCTCCACTTTGCTAAAATCAGTCCTGCTCCTACTCTGGAGGCAAAAGGAATGCCAAACAAAAAATATATTTTTCTACCATACAATATTAAGATCACAATTTAAATTTCAATACAAAACATCTCAGAACTAAGACTAATATATACTATGGGTAATAGGAATCAACAAAGTACCTGAAATACTATTAAGGGGCTTCATTTCTCCTCTCTGCTATAGCTCTAAACAGGTCAAGGAGGCAAGGCTTGATATGTGCTCAAATGCCCTTTCTCTGTGGCAGTTTAACCAGCCTCCATGGAGATCATTCATCACTTTGTAGCCTGTCCTGTAAGATTTGCACCAGCAGGATAAAAGAGTGAACAATGTGTCAAATCTGGCAAGTTCTCCTTGCATGAATAGCTTTGTTAGCAGTATCTAGTCTGTTTTGAACTGAATACAAACCAGAGAGCCCCTTTAGTAAGTTATGATTAGCCAATATATAAACTCCCATGAAATGTAAAAGACAACACTGCTATTGACCAAAGTCCCACTTACCTAGAAGTCTGTATTTATGATCTGTTTCAAAAGAGCTCCTTTCACCCTTTTTTCCCCTATTCTCTTACCTTTTTAATAACTTCTGTTCGTCTCATGGTTTGCACAGTGAGGGACAAAATTATATGCCTGCCTGGAGATAACTTGAAAATGGAAATCACAATTAGTTCACAAGGTAACATTTACTTGTGATGTAAGTCATTCTCCTGTCTGCCAACACTCAATGAAAACCTAGGGAACAAAAGGATTATGTTGGTCCTTCAGACACTTATGAACTAAACATCTTCAGACACTTAAATTAAGAAAATAAACATTTCCTGTATTTTATTTTAAGATCATTCTAAATCCCTGAAGTGAGATACTGTAAAGCCCAGGTTAAAGTATAACAACTGCTTTTGGGGAGAAAAATGTTCACACAGTGTGACTGTTCAACTATTTTAATTTGGACATACACAGCTGTTCTACACTGACTAGCTTGAAATATTCATGCGATCAAATTTTATTGGTATCAACGCTTACGGAAGGCGAATCGCGGAGTTGCATGCAGGAGCATTCATGAAAGCAGCATTTTAAAGCCACATGTTGGAGTTTACACAGTCTATCACAGTTCTCAGATAGAATCCATTAGGTTTAGATTCTTCCATTAACTTTGAGACAGCACGCTGCGGTCTGTTTACTATTACAAGATTACATTTTCCAGATGTAGTTCAACTATAAATCAAGACGGTTTGCCATTTGATTACTCAGAGCTGAACACATTGTGCTCCTGTCTCATTGATCCACTGAGTCTTTGCACTGTAAACAATTCAGGAATTATGGATTTGCAAGACATTTTTTTACTTTACAATTCACTAAACAAGAAACAGCTGTTGACATATACACAATTTTATTTCAAGGACACAGCAATCACAATAACAAAAACAGAACCATTATTTTAATACTGTGAGCTTCTCTGGAAACTGACTTGCACATAGATCTGAAAGCATTTTAAACAATATCTTGGGGGGGACACAGCAAACCTTAAATATATTAAATTCAAACTTGATGTGCTTTTTTTCCCCTCATTTTATAGCTGGCAGTAGTTAAAGCTCTTCAAAGTCGTGGCCACTTGTATTCATTGCTTCAGGGTGCATCACCCTCCCCATGAATAACACAGTACCTGTGACAAAAGGGAGGAAGGGAAGATATCAGCACAAAAAGCTGAAGTTAAACGATGATGAATACTGAGTTCTTGACCATGTGGTCAAGAATTTTTATAGGAATTTGTGTTAGAATTTGGTACCCATGAAACTGTACGGATCAACAACACTAGAGAATAAGGACTTCTTTGTATTCAGAAGTGATACAGTACACAGACAAGAACAGCAGACACTGTCTGCATTTCAGTACCCTTCAGTTTATTCTAAAGCCTTGATTCAAAACCCACCACAAATCAAAACAGATTCACTTTAAATTCCAACAGTTCTGATGAAGGCTCATGGAAACATTTCCACCAATGTAGTCAGAGCTCCCTAGGCTGGAGGGGGTTCTAAGCATGCAGCTAGCCTAGCTACAAGCAGACATTAAATGAACCAGACTTTCCCAACCACTTCAGTCCCTCTCCAGCCTGAAATGGTGAATAACACTCCTCACAGAATTTAAAGTGAGCAAAAGCCACCATACTAAGACTTTTACTAGACATGGTTCAATATTTATTCCACATTGTGCAACCCACAATAAGAATCTCTATACAAATACTTCTCAACTATTTAATCACCATTTATAGCTTTCTTGCTTATATATCTCTAAACCAGTTTAGAAGTAGTTACCAAGCACAAGCACTTCAGATATTCTAGTGAATAAGGGTAACCATCACAGTTTTCTTGCACTGTAGAACAGTTAAGATGCTCAAGCACAGACACATCTGACAGTTTGTGGCTGAACGTTTTGCATCCCAGCCACATCCACATCATTAAGATAAATAGAAAACTAAGGAATTACTTAATCATTGCCCATTTTACAAGTGCTGTTCTCATCTCTTGCCTGCCACAGAACACTTTGAGAGTACAACAGAATTATAACTAATATCTGTCCATTATGCAAATCACTCGGTACTGGGAACACAGCTTATTGGTCTCAAGTGCCAAGTGCTCATGGAGTACAATAATTGCAGTCATTCAGGGATAACACTACATTCTGATGAAAAAGGTTAGGTTTTCCTTCATAGTCTTTAATCATAGAATGAGTACTATTCAGGATTACATCAGATTTTGGTGTCTTCCTTGAAGAAACACTAGGGGGACACAGAAGGAGCCAGCCTTTCAATTTCTATTTCAAGACAAATCAAGGAAAGTTTATAAGCATGAGCATTCGTTAGAAATAGGCAATTTTCTTTCATACCCAACAAGGCACTGTGCAAAGTGTGGAGGAGTGAAAGTCTCACCTGTTCTTCTGTTTCTGACCAGGAAGAAAAAAGGATGATCAACTATAACTTGGGGATACAGTACTGCCATTCTGCTAATGGCAATCATACCTGAAGGATAAAGAACAAGAAATTTAAGAATTATTACACATTCTCTTCTGCTCTTAATGAAACATCATTGCAGCTCATGAACAGTGAAGTTCTGCACTCCGGCACTTAACATAACCAAGAAATAGCACAAATAATTTAACCAAAAATAAAGGAGACCTTTAGAGTAATGGCATGTTTATTTACCCTTTAAGAAAAATTAAAAATAGAATTGAATTAGAAATGGAGTGATACAATTTCCCAGGCTGAGGAAGCAACTTCTAAAATGAAGCCACTTAAAAGGAATGATGAACTGTGCCTCCCTGTAAGAATAAGACGTACTGTGTTGGACAGTGCTACTGGCCTCTTTTAACAGCTTCAAGCTGATAATTGATAGAAAAGGTAACTTAACAGATACAGAGAATGCAACAATTAAATAGGCTGATGTAGCAGCTTTCAGCTTCGCTTCAATCTTCAAAAAAGCGGAGGGAAAGGGTAAAATTAAATAGGAGTCAGGGGGGATTTGGCTTTTCATTATTTTTATTTGGCAAGACATGGATTTCTCCAGGGCATTATTTCCCAGAGTTTCATTTAGTTTTACAGTTTCACTGCACTGACAATAAAAACTCACGCATGCAACAATCCCTGTTCATGTTAATGTTACAACCCAAGCTAGTTACTGGTATTTATGATCAAGGAAGTCATCTATCTTTTCCCCCAGCACAAACAGAAATCAGCTGATGATAGAAAACAACTTAATTTCAGGAAAAGCATGTGATAACCAGGTAAATAAACTACCCAGCCTCCTAACATCAGTACTCTTAACTTAGGTTTTTCCATTTATCACTTCCAATTTTGTTTCTTTAAATGAGCTTATTAAAATGCAACTGCAGCAACTCTGTCTTAACTGTTCTGGATCAAATGCTTTTGACCATTTTTAATTAGTACATCAAAATGAGGAGTGCTTAAGTTGTATGAAGAGCAAACAGTTCATATCTGCTTGACATTCAGAAGCAAAATATGGACGACTTTCCATAGGATCCTCTAAACTGTGAAACACACCGTATGTAAGTGTTACAAAAGTTTTCCCTAATTCTGTTCTGAAAACCAGTGTAGTCGTGTTGCCTTGACATACTGGTTAGCTTCCTGGTATTTCAGCAAAACAGTTAAAATACTAATTAACATAGAACAACATTTGATTTCATTCTGCTTTTCAGTCAGGTACCTGAGGCAGCAGCAGCTTCTGATCCTTCCTCGTTAACTTCTAGGAAAGCCTTATGAAATGCCTTTGCAAGGTAGAGTTCTTTATTATCTGGAGAGGAAAGAAAAAAATACCTATTTCAAGCAGTTCTACAGTAAGAGTGGAAAAATTTAAGAAAACAGCCAAGCACCTTAGCACTACTATCCACCTTCTATATCAAGCCAGAAAAATGAAGAGCTTTGTGCATAAGACTGGCACAAAGCATGTTCAGCCAATGCCTCTAACAGCAGTTACCACTTCAAGATTGTACTGCTCTTCTATATATACACACACACTATATGCATTAGAATGCCATGGCACTATCTAGAGCATCAATACAGTAGCCATTATCTACCTTCAGTTTCTTTTAAGTGCATTTACTTCAATAAAAATCACCACAGAACAGAGTTATTTTCAGTCTTGTTTTCCATTTTTCTTCCCCCGTTTTCTAATTTAGCTGCAATCCTACGCTTGTTTAAGTGAGCAAATGCTCCACTATTTTTCTTCATCATCTAAACGATCAGACCTTGATCAGACCTACTGGAATAGTCAGCACCTTACAGGAAGCAATACATAACAACATTTAATCAGTTGGACTAAGTTTCATCAGTAAGACGTAATGAGGATTAGACACACATTTATTGTACCTGCATAAAATCCACAGTAATGGCAGAGCACAACAGTTAGAGAGGAAGAAAAGCTCTCAACAGGAACTTACCCATGAAAATCTCATCTAGCCACCCCACTGAGACAGCTATGCTTTTTTGCATTTCTGAACCTTAACAAACTGTTCAAAGCCAAATCTCCAGCTGAAGGCTGAGTAAGGAAGGAAAGCTTAGGATTTTTTTTAAATTGTTATCCACAAGTGCAGCCAGCATTCTAACACTAACAAACCAAATCCACAAGAGACAGTAGTTTAAGATGCCTCTCCCCAGACCTCATTACTGCTACATGCACTCAGAACCAAACTAGATCTGCTAGTTCAAACTAGTTCCTCTGTTGACCTTAAATCTCACCAGAAGCCCTAAATGATTACCTTTGGAACCAACCATAACAGACTGCTAAATACTAGAAATCCTAGGCATCAGAACCAAGCTTTCAGCAACGCTACTTTGAGAGCTAAGACAAAATTTCCACTGCTGCCTTTGAATGTGGGACATGCAGAATCTATCTTGAAAACTAAGCACAATTCCCCCCTCAGCTTTTGCATCCCTTGCAAAAATTAACAAAACGCCACCAGAAAACACAACAACATTAACAGCACTTTTAAACCTTGAGTGTTGTCTATTAAAAATAGCTGGATAAACAATAAGTGTTAAATGGTCATCCTGCAAAGCTCTCATTCTTACAAACACATTAAGGCTCATGTTTCCAAAAAGTGTTTTGCTACAAACCTAGGACATACCAGATCATTTACAGAAGTGATAGTGTACAGAAGATAACAGCAGCCAGAAAAGCTAATCCCAATTGCATGCCTAGCATCACATGTGCTGACTTTGTAAACATGTCAGGTTACCAGGGTTCCTGGTAAGTTTATTGGTCAATTCAGCACATTTCTTTATTCTAGGGTAGCTGTGTTTTGCTATTTTTGCTTGAGAACATTTCAAAGCTCTACTGAGCACTTAAGTTAAATACGACATAACAAAAAAAAAAAAAAACAAGAACTCTGCAACCTTCACAGAGAAATGCTGTTTCAGAGCTTCTTTTCTTAAACACAATTAGATATTTAATAATAAAACTTTCCACTTACCCTAATCAGGCCCTTGAATCATGATTTTTTATCACAGTACTTCACCCTGTTCCTGTGACCTGTAATACTCACAGCAATATTCCCTATTTTAATCCTGTATGTTCAATTCTGCATAGTGTGGCATTATGTTACTCCAAAGTATATTTCTAACCAGAACACTCAGCACCTTAACAGATCAGTCTCCACCTAATGAGCTTACTGACTATTATGAAATTGAGCCCTAACTCAGCCAACACAAATATTACTAACATTTACCATCAGCTATAAAAATGAGATAGGTTGTAAATGTACTCTGGTTCTAAGTATAGAAAATACATTGTTGACAAGAATGCAAGTAGTGCATGGCTAGGGAACAGATGAAAAACCTCCAGTTACATTAATAGCGTTTATTCAGTACAAAATAAGTCTCACAGATGAAAACTACAGTGTAACTTACTCCTAAGAGTAAAACATCCTCTCATTCAGCACATACCTTATGTCCTAAAACAAGTTTCTGATCCACAGAAGGCATAAGTAGTCTTCAGTCAATGTAGTGTGGACAGTTAATTGTGCTGAAGCCATTTTTTTTAAATCCCAATCTCATAACCCCAAACCATATCCAAATATCTGTGGTTAAGTTTTCCATAAGAGTACCTTTATTTGGTTCCAATTCCTTGCCTTTCACTCTGATGGATATATTTGTCCTTGGATGGTGAAAATAGCAATTTCATATACCGTTTTCCTTCTTTTAGACTATTTGTCTTATACTGCTGCTATTACAGCCCTCGAGTTCATTTCCACATGGGGAGCAGGGACAACACTAGGAGAAAACCTCTTTGCTGTGTTTTGCCATTGTCAAGTGGCTGAATAAGTTCAGTATCATACACAACACGTCTTTCCCTTCAAAAGAGGAAGAGATGAAATTTACCTGAGCATTTCCTGTCACGTCATTTTTTTTTTATTAGCTTCTCTGAAACAAGACTTCCTAGAGTGTGCTCTGTTAACTATTACTCATACAATCCCCATGAAGATTTGGCATCGCAGAGTTTAGGCTTTCTGCAAGCCCCTTGCCTAGATAGCCATTAATACATAGGTGTGATCTGGGGCTTATTTCTAATGTACATGACTCTGTTAGCATCACATTTCATTTGTCACTACACTCCATATGCTTGTGAACTCCTACTCAAAGCTGCCAAATGGTTGCTCTGCAAGTCTCATTTTAAAGAACAGCATGCAGGTTTATCGGCTTTCCTAGCTCAGGATGCCCCAGAAAAATTACATCTACCTCAGTCACGACTGTGAAGATGAGAGCACCACTGAGATGGTGCTCTTCCTATTATTTAATATTGTGAAATCATTCATTAAGAACACTTCACAGCTCACTGAAACATAGGTCATCTTGAGCTTACAAGCAGTTGCCAGTTAAGGCATTCTACAACAGCAAAAAATATTACAATCATTTGAAAGAGAAGTTGACCTTTAGCACAGCAGTCTGAAACTTGCTGAAATTCCTAATGTCAAGATACTCAAACTGCAAGTCTGGGTAAGTTATAACATCCCAAACATTGGAAGTTCTTTCAAAGTTTGTTTCTTACTATGTTTCAACTCTGAATATTATGACCACAAGATAGAATCAGAGATGGAAATAACATCTGTTCAAGTTTGTTTTTTTCTGAAAGTGAGTCAAATACTCACAACCAGATAGTCAAACAGGAACATCCTCCTACTCACCTGCACAAATTGACAAGTTCTGCAAGAAAACTACATCTAAAGCAAGCACCTAGATGAATACTTAATCTGTGGTTGCTCACAATCCAGATATCCTGAGAGGTAAACCTGACTCATCCAGATCCATTTTTCCATTTGAGTGTAAAAAGTAAAAAACTAAACATGGAAAATTCTGCAATCCTCCAATTTCATTTGTATCCACTGAACTCACAGAATTTCACTGAAGTTAACAGTCTGTGCCTTGATCTGATTACAGGATTAGAGCTGTTGAAATCACAGACGACTTGACAACAATCCAAAGGCAACAGCAACAGAAGAAGGGGAAAAGTTATTTTAAACAACAGAATTTCTCGTAAGTCTCCTTATTTTCTCCCTAAAATTAGTGGAGTTCTCATTCAAATACCTGCATTTGGGCTTTCCAAAGCACTAACACTGACCTGCATGTAAACTAACAGCCTCAGCTTCCTTGTTACCTGACACACTATTCAGCTATTTGCAAAAGCAAGTTCTTAATATCCCTTTATGGTTTTTTGTTCCTTCTTCTCCCCTCATTTTTAGAAGGAGAAAAAGACTGTGTTTTAATTACCTGAAACATCATCTCCATAGCATCAATAGTGTTTTTCAGTGAAGATAGTACTTCAATAATATTTTCTTACTCTTAATGTATGAAATACCTGCTTCCTGGCAACACATGCTCTCTTAAAAGTAAACAGAATGCTACAGTAAGACTATTGAGTTTTCTATATACCACTTCATTTTAAAAACAATCTCTTCTTTAAATGGCAGAGTTAATTCACTCATGCAAAACATGACATTTTGATTTTATACAGTGCAATTGTCAACAATATGAAACTTCAGTCACATGGATTAAAACAAGTTCCAATCTTCCTGTTAATCTCAACTACAGAATTACTCACCAATGTTTAGGCATACTTCAGATACAACAAAATAAGAACCAAACGCTGCCTTGGAGTTCAACCTGCTCTGTGCATTTTCCATTCTCCCTGGTATTTCTCCTCAAGCAAATATTTTACTGTACATAGAGAAGCTATTGTAAAGCTCATTTTTCTTTGGAGCAGTAGAGAAATTGGAAATATTTTTATTCAGAAAATTTACTTAGGAAGCACTATTCATTTATGCAAATTCATTTCACATTAGCTAATTCCAGCTTTCCTTACAATTTCACAGGAAAAGGAAAAGCAGCAAAATAGCAGAATAGGCTACATATAACCTATGAATGATGTTTCTAACTTGCAAAAATGAAAAGCATGTAATTCCAAATGCTTCAACTGCACATTTCATACTTCATTACTACTACCTTGAACAAGATACACCAGCATGATTGCTTCCACAAACAGACAATTAGGAATTACTTCCCATCAGCTATGCAAATCTCTGGCTGCTTAGACAGTAACCCACAGAACAGAAATGTACAGAGCATATATAAGCAAGCATAAGTTACATGAACATCAGTCATCCCATGCTGGTAATGTGTTTTTAGATAGAGAACATCCTGGTCTGTCACACCACAGGTCTAGACAGACCATGCTAAATGTACTGCTCATAAGGAGGCTTTTCTTACACACAAGAACTTGAGCAACAGCAACACAGCTACCTTTTGTGACACTCCTATATATTTCAGTAAGTATTAAAAACTTGAATGTCTGCTTTCCACCTGAAGTATTAGATATTTCAATGAAACTGTTCATAGTGCACTGAAATAGACAAGCAGCATGCATACTTCCATCTCAGAACTCTTTCCTGTTACAGTTTGTCATGGTTCTATGTTTTTATGGTTTCAGTATTCCACATCAAAACATCATTACTGGGGGAGCCAGGAGTCAGAGCAGCCTGGGCAGTGGCTTCTCCAGATGCTGATGTTCCCCGCCCAGAGCCGCTGGAGCCCAGTGCTGACCTCTGGCGCCCAACGTGGGGCAGTGACACTTTAATAGCCCGTACACTACATGATGTTTTGATGTGGAATACTGAAACCATGAAAACATAGAACCATGACACACTTACATACAGAAGGTACTTGTGGGGATAACCAATCATACAAGTATTTAAAGCCCTTGATTCCACGAAGAAATAGCCTCTGGAGAAAGATGACAACTACCATGGTGCATAGAACTCATTGCTATGAAGGCACTGAAGCCACGCATTGCTCTAATATGGATCTGCACCTTGCACATTTTTAAGATTCAGTTTGATATCTCAGAATGACTTCTCCCAGATCAAAAACACTCCCTCCCACTCCAATGCTCACCCACTTCAGACGCTCCTATAGAGAACAACCCTGCATCACACAAAACATCCCAGAAGATCGGAAGTTTGCTAGCAGGTTTTTTTTTTTTTTTAAATGAAAACACACTGGAGATCTTACTGGTTATCCTGAAATGGATGATTTCAGCACTCACATCTCCTCTTACCAGACATCGCAGTGAGGTCGGCATTACGGCTGAACACTTCTGTAATTCCAAGACCTTTCAACACGTCTTTCAGATCAATTTCTTGCTCTACTGTGAACCTGAAAAATGAAAGAAAAAATGCAAAAAACTAATAAGAACTGCTTACATTGGTTAGAATATTAAAATTTCTAGGCAATGACAACTGAAATACTGAGACAACATGAAATAAGAGTTCAGTAATAGTCGTATAGCATAGCAACGCTTCCTGTAAAAATGCTTACACTAATTAGTTTACTTTCACAGCTGCAATGTTTTCTTACACAGAAGAAATTAAAGGCTGCTAGTATGATGTACAATCCCTGACCATAACTCTGCACATACAAACCTCAGCAGCTTGAAAAAGGGTAATCTGAACATCAAAAGACAACTGGATTGTCTTATACAAACCACATTCCTGATGACATATCTATTCCATCACAAATCATTTCCCAGAGAAGAATTTTATCTAAGTTAAAATAAGATCTGGAGAGAGCTGGAGACTGACAAATCACTGGCAGCATCAGAATCGGTCACATACCCTGTCCAGATGGATTCTGGCCTATGCCTGGAGTAAAGCAGGAGAACTGATTCTTGCCATTTTACTGTTTAGGCAGTTCTCAAAAGTATCTGAAGAGGTTGAAGAGTCACACACTCGAGGAAGTTTCTCACATTCTGGTATGAAATGCATCAGCATTCTTAGAAACATAGGCTTTAGAGAATCCTAGCTTTCTCACAGTTGGAAGACTCACTGCAAGAAAGATATTGAGGCCCTGGAACGTGTTCAAAGGAGGGCAACAAAGCTGGTGAGGGGTCTGGAACACAGGCCATATGAGGAGAGGCTGAAGGAGCTGGGAATGTTCAGCCTGGAGAAGAGGAGGCTCAGGGGAGACCTCATTGCTCTCTATAACTTCCTGAAGGGAGGTTGTAGTGAGCTGGGGGTCGGCCTCTTCTCTCGTGTCATTAGGGATAGGACCAGGGGGAATGGCTTCAAGCTACAGCAGGGGAGATTCAGGCTGGACATTAGGAAGTATTACTTTTCAGAAAGGGTGGTCAGGCACTGGAACGGACTGCCCAGGGAGGTGGTGGAGTCACCGAGCCTGGGGGTGTTCAAGGAAAGACTGGATGTTGTGTTGAGGGACATGGTTTAGTAGGAGCTATTGGGAATAGGTGAACGGTTGGACTGGGTGATCTTTTAGGTCTTTTCCAACCTTGGTGATTCTATGATTCTATGATTCTAAGACACATTTCAAGGCCATCTCACCCAACTCCCCTGCAATGAACAGAAGCATCCACAGCTAGATCAGGTTGCTCAGAGCCCCATCCAATCTGGCCTTGAAAGCCTCCAGCAACTGAGCATCCACGTTTCTGGGCAACCAGTTACAGTTGCTCACCACCGTTACTGTATAAGACCTTTCCCTTGCATTCAACCTAAATCTATCCTGTTATCCTTTACCTTAATGAATGATTGTTCACAATTACAACAGTCCAGAACTTCAGGTTTTGTGTAAAGCTTCAAGTGTAGTAAGTCATCTTCTAGCTAGACTTTTAAGACAAGAAAAATAAAGATGGCTTCATCTTGCATGAGGCCATGCAACTCTTCTGAAAAGCTGAGTTTTCAGTAGAGTTCCTAGGTGCTCAGGATCTACAAAAGAGGATTTGAGCACACTTTCCAGCTATACAGTAGAAGTATAACTACAGCCTAGTGTGACTCATCCCAAAGGCTATAATTTCAAGGCTTGCTAGCAGTCCTGAGAAAAAGCAAAAAATGCCTGATTCCCAGTTTGGTTCTAATATATTACATTCTGCAGAACAAGAAGCAAAGCAATGGCTCCATTTGACAAACCAACAATTTCTTGCTTAGAAGACAGGCCTTAAGGATCTGAATTGCAATTTCAGCCCAATAAGCAACTTTGTATTGTAATACCAAGCTGCCAGCTGACATCAATTCCAACTTTTCAGATGGAATTTCAGCAAGGTTGTCCTGAGGTGCTAGAACTAGCTTGCATAATTCAATAGCCTGAAAATAAAACAAGAAAGTGCCACAGTACTGTTGTTCCGACCAGGCAGATCAAGGCAGGTTATGGTTCTCTCTGGCAAGGTCCTTCTGTGAGGGCTAAATACAGGCTGCAGATGTTGGCTACATGTACTGCAACAGCACACAGCTTTGTTTCTCTTCTGTGACCATCTCAAGAACCATGAGATCTGACCTCATCAGAACAGGACTCAAAAGAATGTAAAAAAAAAAAAAAAAAAAAAAAAAAAAAATAAAAGTTTTGGTTTGTTTTCTTGAGAGAAAGAAAACTTTCAGATAAACAAAGACCTTTCAAAGTTACGTGAAGTGAGAAGGTCAGTGAAGAAAGCCAAGCATACTGGGACAGACTTCAAGAGGTGATCTGGTACAATGTCATTAGGTAGTAGCTCTTCCTGTGTTCTTCAAATACATTACTAGAGAGTTCTGAATATTAGATTCATGGTCTGTTTCAATTCTCTGAATAAATAGGATTAGACTGTTGATCGTTTTTGTCTGAGTTAAACTGCAAACAGATCTGAAAATGAAAAAGTAGTATAACTTAACACTTCTGTTCAAATTCCTCCTTCGCTATTAAGAAGAGTAATTTGCACACATAATGCAAACAGAAATTATAATGTTGTGATTAACTGTGCTTTCAGCTCAGCTAGTGTTCAGGCCCTAGGACAGCTTCGAAATTTTCACTGTATAATTTGATAGCATCTTCCAGGATATAAAAAATTAATTTTATTCCACTGCTGTTTTCAGTTTCTCAGTGGACAGAGCCTGCAGGCCACATTTCATAACATGCCTTCCTGAGTCAGAGCATAAAATATTTATGAAGTTTTTATTCTGAGCATTGATAAAATCCTGCAGATCCCCTCTGAATCTCTAATGGAAATCCAACACCTTGGGAGTGTGCAATTAATCTAATTTTTATAGGAAATTGCACTGTTACTGTGTGGTATTTCAAGTTCATGAGTTCTCTCATAACTGGAAAACGCTGAAGGTAATCAGAACCCAGTTGTATCTGTTTTGCCTTTGCTTAACCTTAATTCAAAAAGCATTTAACAATTTTCTGGAGGCTCCTAGATGAGAGTGACGGGCATGAAGACTAGCCTAAGGTAAGAATTGTTGGGTACAGAATAAACAGTTTATGACCACACAAAAACACAGCCTCAACTCAGGCACAAACTCGTGTCTGAAGTTCTGGCTACAAAGAACCCTGAACTCCCTGCTTTAGGTTAAGTAGAAATAAGCAAAAACTAGAACTGCCAACAAAAAAGCTAAGGCCAGGATCATTAACACAATTTAAACAGTACTTATGTATTTGAGATACTTCAACTTCCTAAATTCAGAAGCTTAGTTTTGATAGACCTCTGGATTCCGTGCATCTCATACATGGGAGAAACAGAGATAAAGCATCAGCACCTGATACAGAGGCAGCAAAATACTTCAGTTATAAAAAAGAAGCTTAAGGGATGGAAGACTCCCCATTTAATTTGTTGGTAACATGTACCATTTCATTGGGAAAGGATAAACAGCTTAACAAAAGTAGTTTCCCCACCCTGTAAAGGATTTTGCCCTGTTCCTTGCATGTGCAGTATAACCCCAATTTCCAAGTCACATGAAAACAAGAATCATTTCTGTGACTACAAGGCTTCACTATGGTTTATTTTTTTTTTGCTGCCTCGAGCTGTAGCAGCAAAGCTCAGTAAGTACAAAAGCATGTACTATATTGTTATATAGACAGTTTAATATAATTAATGAAATCATTATGAATCCTTTGAAGACCGTTATGATGGAACCACACATTGACTTTCAGTAACAAACAAGTATGAGGTACACATACATTTAGAGGCAGATGAAAATTCTTGGAAAGGTAGCAGTGTGTTTGAGTAAATACACCTCTGAGCATATACAGGTTATGTCTACGAACAAACCAATTTCACTGGTCCTCTAATGAAAATGAGTTCAACCCCTCTAACATCTAAGGAAGACATTGATTGAAATTACCTCTCAATACTCAACTATTTGTATCTACGTGTACCGTTAAAACTTCTTGAATTAGCAGCAAATAGTAATCTAATTAGCACCCAAATGAAACATTTGTTAATTCAAGCTTAAAATATTTGTATGGCTCCCATCTTAAATGGAACTTAACCATAATGAGTTCTGCAATAAAAAGAGAGCCATCACTCTGAGTAGATATACTTAATGAAATTCTCCTTCCTGGAGCTTATACCTGGAAGGGACACAAAAGCAGCATTGGGCTGTTGCTCAAACAACTACTGTTAAGCACTGCACACCCCCAGATCTTCTTGTCACAGCCACCTTTGTGTGGGTGCTCCATAACTACAGTCTTGGTCAAGAGCCCCGTTTTTACCTACACTGCTATTCCAACCCAACTGAACACAGCAGCCTCCCCCCTTTTACTGACACAGCAGCATATTCTCACCTTGGTAAATATACTTCAACTTTTTGCTTTTTTACTGAGTTAGCCCACTCATTAATCAATGAGGCTTTGACAAGTGGCTCCAATGTGACCAGTGGAACTTCTTGTCTGGTAAGAACAATCATCATACTAATTTCATCTCCTTCATACGGTATTTCTAGAACTTGGTAGATACCACCTGCTTCATTAGAGCCATCACTGAACTCTCCTACAAGAGAAACAGGGAAATTCCATTAGAAGTACATTCTTTCATTTTTAGTGGAGATATGAGAAAGATAAGAGGTAGGTAATGCTGACTAGGTACAGGAGTTAATTGACCCTCTACTCTGTAAAAAAAAGTTGTAGTTCTTTCATCGTATGATTTAAGTCTTATACCTCCTTTCCTAAGGAAGGCAATCTTACACAATCAGTCTGTAGGTAACCATACTTCCAAACATGTTACCTAATTTCCACCTAACTTCCATTCAGTGAGCAAAGTCTAGAAGTCGTTAAAGCTAAGACCTTCATGGAAGCAGGCAGAGTTTTTCTTTCAGAAAGACAGCTTATTAATGAAGAGACAGTAAAATATTGCCAACAGTAGATACCATAGAATCCATTTGGAGTTCAAGCTCAAAGGAAAAACCACTATTAGCTCTGTTTGAAGAATTCATTTCATCTAGGACTACTAGGGCAGTAATGGATAGGTGTCCTTATATTAAGCACTATTTAGAATAGTTAGAAGAGATCTAGAAAAAAAAAAAAGTCACAGCAAAACTACCCAGGTTACCAATTGGAAATTATCACTGAGGACATTATGCAAATACCTCTTGAACACTGAGGGGCATGGGAGCAACCATTTCTCTAGCAAGTCTGCTCCAGTGTTTAGCCACCCTCCCAATAAGGAAATCCTCCCTAATATCCAGCCTATTAATTTCAGTACTTAACATAGTACAACAATAATATTTCACCAAAAAGCAGATATAGCTCTATAATTGTGAAAAAAAAATTTAGAAAATAGTGAACAAACATTCTGAAATTCATCATATGGCACTAAAACATACCTAAACAGGAATCATGAAGTCATTAAATATATTGCTGCTGGTACAATACACAAGCACATACTATAAAAACACATCAAATAAGCATCCCTCCACTAGATTTAAACTGTTGCATTTCCAACTCACCATAATAAAACTCTCCCTGCTGGTACATCATTGGAATCTGCACTTCAGTTTCATCATCCTTAGTGAAAGAAAAAGTTCTTGTATTTTCAGGTCTGAACTGTGATTTCCAATTGCCTTTAAAGTAGATTGCGTTGATGAGAACCAAGTGAGTTAGAACACCAAAGTCTCTTGATGACACAAAATCTTTGATCATATCTAAGAAGAAAAACAACTGTCAGTCTTCATGTCAAATGGAGCATTAAATCAAATCTCAAGGCAGCTCAAAAAAAAAAAGCAACAAAATAAAAAGCTACACTAACATGTAATTTCCAATTCAAATGTTTCATTAAATCTCAGATTAAACTCCAGTGGTTTGTAAACCGAGAGTCACAGTGTAGGTGCACAAATCTTCCTATCACATGTTAGCTGTTACTGTATTGCTACTTACATATACCCCATAATTAAATCAAGGGAGAAACAAAGTCAAACCATTTACACTGGTGCTGTAATACATTCAGCATTTTTCTCTTCATGTCAGATCATCTACACATTCTGTTTCTGATCCAAAGAAGAATTAAAAGTGGATGCTTGAAACATATATGCATATCCATTGAAACTTCACCCGGGCTAGTGTTTAAGTGCTCAGTTTCTAATCAAGTAGTGTCTCACTGATTAGTAAAGGCTAATCTATATAGATTCTCAGCATTTGTTCCGCTCACATTAGCACTTGAAAAGCACAAGCGAAAGACACAGTGTCTGCTCTGCACAAGGGAGGTATGTCAGCTAAGCATGGCAGCTGCTTCACTCCTCTTCCTAAGTCATTCACATGAGAATATACAGTCTAACCTGCTTTAGCTCATCTTAAACAGCTGCCTTTCCAACAAAACAATTTTGAGATCACTAAATGTGACAGGCTGACCACATTAGTGAGTGTTCTTGACAAATTTCAGCCTACTTCAGATGGCTTTCTTGTTCATTTATTTTAACTGACACCACATGAAAGTGTTAAACACATTCCTCAGTCTGGTTATGACTCCCTTAATGCCTTGTTTATAATACAAATTATGCTCTCTGGAGCATATGACACCTACCAACTGGTGCAAAATTTGTGTATTATACAGTAAAATTTGTTATGGGTCACTGTTCATTCCTCATCCCAACTAGAACATCTCCAGAAATGAGATGTGACCCATACTTACTCTATAGTAGGAAAAAAGAAAAACTAAGGAATATGCTTGTCTTTTATTACTTAGTACATCATTTTCTCTTGAGCTTTTCAGTCACATCTGAATACACTGATATACATTAAGAATCACCTCTGGCCAGAGAAACCTTGACAGCTGTTTTCTACTCTGAGCTTCCCATCATTTTCAACATGCTGGAACTGGAAAGCTGACTGTCTTGTACTCCTTAACTAATGGGAAAATGAGCCCTCTGTCAGAAATGGCAGGCAGGAGGGAATGAGATCGAGTGCTTGGAGATTAGGCTGAGGGACTGTTACTATCACAACCTGATGCTAAGAGACCAACAGCTGCCTTTGTTAGCTCAGTTATTTTCAAGGTGATGGGTACAAACTTGGTCAGCAGATGTGGCAGGCATTAAGCATGAGATCTGGGTGCCCCTTTGAAAAAGAAACAATTTGGCTTTTCCCTCAGAGATGATGTGTTCCTAGAACACTGCGCTAGCTGCTGCATTACTTCCATTGCCTCTATTTTTGCAGCTTGAGATAAAGGGCAGAATTCACCACAGTAGGTTCCATTTTCCCCACAGAAAAAGCTAGATGCTTTTTAAAAATGAACTAAACACATTATGCAAGATGTCTTTCAGCTTTAGTGCTGCAAGCTTCCTGTAAAGCATTATGATTATTAAATGCACGTACAACACGGCAATCTACTAATTCCTTAAAAGAATCCTAAAGTCTGCATCAACCAGATCTAAACAGGCATATTTATACCAGTCATTCTGTGCTTACTTCTTTCCTTCCACTGCATTTTTTGTTATAGAAATACTGTCAGAGTTCTACAACCAAATACTCTCTAAACATGTTATCTCATAACCACACATTGTAAAGATTAGATCACAGGGTCTCATTTTGTGCTTGAAGTAACCTCCAGTATTTATTAGCATTCCATTTCTCCATAACTTGTACCTATCAGTTCCTCAGTCCTCCACACAGACAAAGCACAGGCCAATAATCCCTTTGTAGATAAGAGTTTAGCATTTAACAATAGCACTTATCTACACTTGTTTGTAACTTAATATAGAAATCAGTATTAAAAATTTAAAGAGACTTTAAATGAAAACTTGCTCCTTCAGTAGATGTTACAAGTATTTCACTGGAAAACATTCAGACAGATCCCACCATATGATTTAGTGGTTAATGCTACTTAGAACATTACTTCTCTTCAGACAGCTACATATTTTTTCTGTGGCAGGATTCACGCTACAATTCTCTTTATGAGTGGAGAAACAAAAGAGATGAAAAGGTAAAAACTCAATGTCCTAACTCCAGAAATAAAGACGCTTACTGCAGGAAATAGAAACCACGTAAACTTACTGTTGGTATGATTCTCTACCCACTTATTGATGTGGGTAGCTACAGCTGCACTCTGGCTGAAATCTATATTCTCTACTTGAGCTTTAAAGTATTTTTTCACCAACTGCAAAAATTTTTCACTAACATGGAATCCATTTTGAACATAGAGAGAGTTAGCCATATTCAAAACGTAATGACTTTCTTCCGTAGTTGCCATATCAGACAGGTCCTTCAGAAAGGCAAACTCCTCACCTGAGGGAAGAAATACAAGTTCAGTGAGAGCACTTCAGAAAAAAATCCATCGTTTTGCACTAGAAATACAGTCATTTTATGAAGTCCAATTTGTGTTCTTACATCCAGCAGTTAAACACATGCAGTCTGACTGAAACCTGAACACCTTCAGATCTGAGAAGACAATCTGCAAAGCAGAACACATTTAGAGCTTATTCTTTCAACTCCTTACAATTATCATTAACAAGCCATTTGAACCCCGCCAGACACTGTGATAATCAGTGATAATCAGTGGTAATCCTCTCTACATCAAGGAACTAAAAATTCTTATGAGTCATACTTCCATGCTTTGCCACCACAAGCCAACAGATTTCCCTTATGTTCTAAAAAACAGTTATTCAGGAGCTTGGCAAAGAAAAACCAGTGCTCAGTTCTGACTGTTAGGGCCCACACGGAGTTTCCCTCACTAAGACAGGCCTAGAATTTCCCAGGATATAGCATGGATCATTTGCTTGGGTAATGAGGAGTTCTGGCAGTGACAGCATCAGGTTTCTGTGGCTTTTAATCTAACTGCCCTCACAGCCAAAAGGATTCCAAAAAGCCTGCCTGAAGACAGAAAGCTCACACTGCTGCACTGCCTACCTGAAGCTGAACATTCTGATCTCTTCACGATGTAACTTAAAAATTGAACACAAATATTTCAAGCTCAAGTTGTCAGAATGCTTCCAACTCGCACTGTGTCAAGAACAGTGAATGGCCCAGCTCAAATGTGCTGCGTTAACTTCTTAAGTTACAGATAAGGGGTTAATTTATCAACCATCAGAAATCTGAGTTAAATGTGCACCGTAATCTCCACAGAAAGCTATCAACTGCATACAGGTACAGCACACAAAGCTTGACAAACTTTTTTCTGAACTGTATTCAGAACTCCTTCCTCAACACCCATTCACAGAGGACTTAGCATCCAATGAGTTCTATGAACAAGGAATTCCATTCATGTTTTCATTATTCCAACATCAAAATTAGTCAAAATTTACTTCATAATATTTTCCCCCATTCATTGATCTTCTCCATTTGCAGACAAATCAGAATGGTTGGCACTGAATGAATATGTGTTCTGTGGCACTACATCCAGATGCATGACTTTTTTGCTTATCCCACACTATAGCAATACCATTGCTCTGTTAAATAATGCCTCTTGTTTCTCAGCAAGAATGACAGGAACACATGAATCACAAAAACACTTGGAAGGGACCTTGAAGATCACCTAGTTCCAACCCTTGGAGTACATGAAGTATCACGCAGAAACAATCAAGACATTGCTATTTCCTAAACTAGCTCGCACGCTATATTACATAGTGCAAACAGAACACTGCAGACTTGTTAGGCTAAAACCTGCATGTCCTATCTACAAGAACAAGTTCCATCAAAGTAAGAGATGATGCTTCTGGTCTTACTACTGAGTTCTCCTACTTCTAAGCAATATTGCCTAAAACAATCCTTTCCTTTTCAGGTTTCATTATAAGCCATCTTGCAACTCCAAAGGCAAGAGCATCCTTAACTTTACAGAGAGAAACCAAGATCAACAGTATGCTGCAATCATTCAGCTGCCCAAGCCAGGATTGTCCATTAGCATTGCTGCTCACACAGAATCCACTCAAGCATGCTCCAGCACACTCAGGCCATCACACAGAATGTCAAGAAGCCCCCTGATTAATAACCTGTGGACATCATCAGGCCATTTCCATGGTTGCTGAAACATTGCCAGCTGTTTCTTTAAGTCTAAAAATCTGTTGTAAAGCACGATTATAAAAGTCCTTACCATTTTTTAAGCTGTCAAAACCCAACGTATGTCGAATTTCTTTCAAGGTGGTTCCATGGGCTCCAAGCTCTATCATTCCCATGGCTATTGCAATGCTCAGGGGACAGAAAAGAATATTCTCATCTTCTCTTGCAGCTCGTAGCTGATTGTAAACATTCACAGAAAGCTCAGCAATAGTTTCATCAGGAAAATTTGTCTTGAAGGCTTTACTTGGCAGAACAAGCAAAGATAATAATCCAAGGAAATACATGTCGTGAGATATTAAGACCTGCAAGACAATTTTAGAGGAAATAAGTTAACTCCACATAACAACAGATTAAACTCAAACACAGTGGTAAGCTTGGCAAATTTCAAATTTTAGTGGGAAAAAATCTAGGCAAGGAGTTAAGGGCATACTTGAGTTTCCTGGAGGAGGCACATACACCCTTCAAAACAAAGCAATGAACCATTTCCTCCCTGAAAATTAGCTATTGAATGACTTTATGCTTCTGTAAACTTTCAATGGAATAATAAAATTCAACTCCTACAAAAAAACATCAAACACAGCCATACCTTTCCTACTTCTCCTTGTCAAGTTTGGTATCGTTAAGCAATGCTGGTGTAGAAATGATATGTATTTCTGCACTTTTTTCCACCAAGGAGACTTACAAACATGTTTCTTTCATTTGATCTTCCAAGTAAGAAATAACTTATTCATCTAAGTCACACTACTCCAGGAACTGGTAAGACTACTTCAGGAACAGAAAAAGCTTGCTGACACCAGTGACAAAGGAAATGTACCACAATGTTGCTTGGTTGCAAAACTCACAGCAAGCAGCCAAGATGTCTGTTAGTAAATAGCAATAAGTTGACTAGCTTTGACTAGTTACATTTGCTAACAGACAATAACTTTCCTATGCAGGCCCCTGGAGCAGGTCAAATTACTTTATGTAACAGCAGGAAAGATTCAGCAGTGGAAACAGGAAACTAGAAAGAAATCAAGAGGATTAATAACCTAACTTACCCCCAGGCTTTGCTAAAAGGCATCAAACAACAGTTCTCACTCTACCCCAGTTTGGCTTGTCACACAACTACTAGCTTAATTAAAACTGCACATTCTGGGGCTGCATACACATCTCCATTTCATTTCTCCCTTTCACTTCACACTACATTGGCACTTGACCAACTGGTCAGTCACAGGAGCCAACACAGCTTGTGCTTAGCTTCTTCTCCTGGACGCTTACAGCTTCAAATACCATGAAGCAAACAGATCTAGTCCAGAAGAAGCATTTGTATGTTTCTGTGCCAGGTTGCAGGGCTTGTCAGCATGGGATAAATTCATGTGAATGCGCTACCCTGCTGTTCAACTGAAGTCAATTTACATGCTGCTAAAGTGCCTCTGCCTTATGCTTCCCAGCTGTGTGCCTGCAGTTACTGTGGGCCTCTTTATACCTGACAGAGACCCTCGATAAGCTTTGTACGCCATTTGTATCACACATTTCATCTTCAAAGGACTACGTATCTGTGATACAATTATCTTGCAAAACACTGAATGATACATAATATAAGCATCACTCACATTTCACAGATGAGAAAAAAATATGAAACGCAACAAGGTACATGCTTTGGCAGCAAGCAATGTGGTCACTGTTTAAAATTCTGTTTCCTGGCCACAGCTCAGCCTTCTGTTTATTTTTCATTGAGGAAATGAAACAGATGAATTAACACAGCAAACATACATGTTTCAGGGAAAAATGGCAGGTTCTTAGAGAGAGATGAACCACAGCCCTGCTTCTCCCCTTCCCTACCTCCCTTCTATGGTCTGCTTACATGTATGAAATATGCTCTGTTTATCCATGTCTAATAATCCCTCCCCATGTCAACAGTTCATCTTCCTGGATGAACTCATGCATTTTTCTGATTCTCTGCAAGATATCAGAAATCCCCCCCCATAGTTTCCTATTCTACTTAACAGCACACACACACACACACACACACACACACAAAATTACACGAGCCCACATCAGCAGCTTCATATTGTGCAAACACTCAACACTGCACTGCCTTTCCAATGGAAACCATTTCAGTCCGAGGCATAACCATCATTTCATGAACACAAATTTCATGGACCAAAAAGGTATCAATATAGCACAAATTTCTCCAACCCTCTTATTAATAGCACTGTTTTTAAACCTGTTTATTAGTTACTTAAAGATATTACAATTCCTACTGTAGTGAAACAAGTGAATTTTGGGGGGGCAGAGGGTGGGGTGTACTGATCTCAACTTGAAAGCCATACAAGGTAAGAAATGCTAATAAACTTGCCATGGAGGACATCCATAGCAGTAGCAAAAAGCACACCAAGATCAGCTCAGCTAAGCACAAGGCAGTATTGGGGCTTTTTAATAAGCCTGTAAGCAAGTTTGCAGAGTTCAACAGGATTTTAATTATGCAGACAACTTGATACAACTGTTGCATCAAGACCACGGTATTGAATTGCTCAAGCACTGAGACAAATGAATTCTCAGTTTTAAAAAAGGAAAATGCCCCAGCTTTCTCATTGCAGAGGGAGCTATTCAGCACTCCATCACTGATCTCTGCCATACGCCTGACTGTGAGAAACTCTTCAGTAATTGCAGGAGGTGGGTATGGGTAGAAGATGCAGTGCAGCCCTGCAGTGGCAGCGCTCTCAGGCTGTTTGTGAGGACTGGGCTCTCTCAACATACAAGTATAAAACAAGGGATGATGTTTTAATGCAAGCAAGGTCTGTGGGAGAAGCCTGCAGAACAGAACAGACACTTGGTCAAGCTGCTTGTCTCTGTGAAAATCATTTCCTAGTTATGTTTTCCTCTCAGCCTAATCCAAGGCATTGGGGATAAATTCCCCAGATCCCTTTTCCTTGTACTGACAGCACATGTATGCACTTCTAACAATGGGAATCTAGCTCAATTATCATTCTAGTCATAACAGTTCCTGCCTCCAATTCCACCTTGCTTTAGGCAGTATTACACTTGATTTCATACTTTCACATGCCTCTTCAAGCAGCAGGTCTTGGTCCAACAAACAGCTGAGCACTTAAAGTACAGCACATTCTCAGCATCTTTCTTCAGTAAGTTAAGGGCAATCGTTTCCACAACAACACAGAATCAGAAAGCATTTTTAAAATACCTGTACTCCACTTTAAGTGAAGGGAACAATGCTGAACATTGTGCAATTTCTGCTTGGGAAGTTGAACAGGCCCTGAATACCATCAGAATTTTGACAGTCTTTTCAGACTCAGTCATGAACAACACTGTCGTAGCCTTTCTTATCAGTGAAAGCTAGTTAAATACTGCACCAGCTAAATAGCAACTCTTTTAACTACTGTTCTATGTGGACTTAGACATTAATTTCAAGTTACAGGACACATTTTGCACTGGTTGACACATAAACAAAAAACCTGTTGAAGCTGCTTTCAGCCCTTACGTAAACAAATATTAAGGGCTGAGACGTGAATTTCATTTGAGCTCCAATCAGTGACAGAAACTAAAGCAGCAATACAGATTAACTGATACACAAATCACATTCCAGGTAAAGAAGCAGCAGCCCCAACTCCTGCAGCAGTAGCATCTTCTTGAAAAAAGAAGCGTGCATCACAAATCATCTACAGACACAGAGGTCTGTAAGCATGTTTTACCCTTGCTTGCATCAGTCCCCATTAAAAAAAGCAGCAGCAAACTAAAGAATGCAGCACTACTCCAAAACAAACACTTGTAACTGCACAGAATATATTATAACAGCTAAAGGGGTTATTTAGCAACTTCAACCTCCTGGCATTTGTTTTCAGTAGAGAAATGCCCATCTCACACCCCAGGCCTTCTTTAGGTTTTGGACACTGCTCTGTAGAGGGTTTAAGAGTTTATGGAAATGGTCTTAATGAACAATATTACTCATTTTTGTCACTTCTCACAACAAAAACAGTGAAAAAGCTTTGGGATCTACATAATCCAGCAAGTCTAGTTTAATTCCTTGGAAGTTTTTTCTGTTCAAAATTGCTGAAACCTTTCACAAAGCTTTTACCACTCCCAGAATTCTGTTTGATGCTTTCCCACAGCAGGTCCCAAACAGCTCAGTGGGCAGCACTTTTCCTTTCTGCTTTAGCCAGCACAGATGTACCCCTATACACGAGCAGAAAGAAAACCCATTTCATAATGTGTGAAGAAGAAAGATGCATAGGCTAGAATACTGGGCTGATTAACTATAGCTCTTGCCTTCCTCCAAGCATAAGGCTGCAGTGACTAAGAGGAAGTAGAACAACATCACCCCCTCACACCCACAAACTGTGAACTATTCAGATCACTGCATATGCTTTCAGAAAAAAAAATGGAAGAGGGCAAGCATCCTCTGTAAGCCAAGATATTTTAAGACGTACCAACAAACTCAAATGGTTCACAGAAATTAAGTACTTTGAATTTTGAAACAGCACGAATTGAACTCACAGTAGGAAGGTGCCAAAAAATTCAATTAAGGATTGAATTCTAGTGCCTTGTGCATGCCAGACAGGTTGGAAAGAAAAAAGGTTATCATTTGCTTGTCTCTTACACCTTCAGACTGTGGGTTTTTATAAAGAAACTCCTTTACAGCTTTAGAAGCCTAGCAACTTCACAAAATAGAACTGTGATATATTGCCTTAATTCCTCAGCAGAGACTGAACTAAGATTAGTTGCCTTGAAGATTACTCTTGGCTACATGCAAGCTAAACACTAAAAGTGTGGGAAGTATATATGAAAAAAAACTGCTGGTTCCTTCCAAGCAGCGTATGAAGAAAAGCTTGGGGAGAAAAGAACACCACCATTTCCACCAGCATACTTGCTTTGCTGTAGGGAGGAATACCCATGGGTGCAGATGAGTCCAGCAAAACAGTCCCACAGAGCTAGAGATGAGATTGCTACCAAGCCAACTGCCTTAAGAGCATGCTTACCCACTCTATTAGGTCACGTTTGCACCTGGAACTGAAACAAGAGCCTTCCTGAAAGCCACAGAGGGTAACAAATGTATCAGTGCTCCCTAATTATGATCTGTTGTTCTGAGGTCCTACTGCCTAGAGTCAGGATGATACAAGGAAACAGGAGAATAAGGAGGTGTCTGCAAGATGCTTCAACAAACAGCCATGGTGGACAGCATAAGCAATACCTGACAAAGTATTTCTGTTATTAAAATTATTTTTGTTGTTAGAATTAGTGATCATCTGCCTAGCATCTGGAGACATTGGGTAAATTGACATCTGTGCTACCTCCAGCAGGCTTTACC